GGCCCCGCCTCCAGGGAGGAAGGAAGTGGGCGGGGCACGGCAGCCCCGCCCCCAGGCTTGCCGGGCGGAACCGACCCCCTATTTCCGCGGAGCCGGGGTACCCCGCACCTCGCCCTCCGATCCCGCCCGGGCGGCGCCGGCTTCTCAGGGGGTCGGGCGGGGACCGTGGCCACCAGGCCTGTTCCGAAGCCCCGCCTCGGTCCTCTGAGGATCTCGCGGGCTGTGGGCGGAAGCCAGCCGGGCAGATGGGCGCGCCCCTCTTGTGCAGGCGGGGCCTTCCCACGCCTCGCAGCCGCCTCTGCCGTTTTGGAGCGGGAACCCAGGCGAGCCCGCCCACCCCTCTGATGGGTTCGACCGAGCTTGAGCCAACGCGGCGGCGCGGGCCCTTGCGGGTGGGGAGGACCCGCCTGGGTCTCACACCTGCCGGCCGGGCGGCCCCGCGTCCTGGCGCCCCGGCAGCAGGCGCGGCGGGACCGGGCGCGATGCCTGGTTTCTCCGGAGCCGCTACAAAAGGAAACTTTAAAACTTAGATGTCCAGCGGCGCCAGACCTCCCCGAGCCTGGGCAGAGCCGGCTCCCTCTGCTCCACCCCAGCCGGGCCGGAGGGGGCAGCCCCGGGCAGCCGCAGGAGGACGCGGAGCGGGCCCCAGAGTGCCCACGGCCCACTTTTCCCCGACAGCCTCCGTCTCGGGAGAGGCCCACACGCCCTGCCCGCCACGGGGACAGCGGAGGCCCGGGGCGCCCGCGTCCTCGGAGCTCGCTGCCGGGAAGGCTTTTGCCCTCTGCGGGGTAAGCGGCCTCCTTTGACTGGGTGGCTGTGCGCCCCAGGAGCCGGCTGCACACCCGGGCTCGCTGCTCTTTGCAGCTCGCCTCGGGACACTGCCAAGGTCCGTGACCGTGACCGGAAAGAGGCCCGCAAGGAGTCCGCAGGCAGAGCCCTGAGAGGCCCCGACGTGGAGACCGCCCGCGTGGACGTGGACGACGAGCGGCGGCTGCCGCGGGTACAGATGGAGGAGGGCGGGCGTCCGCGCCCAAGTGGGCTGAGCCGGGACGCCCGTCCACACTCCCCACGGGCGGGTGTGAAGGGAGCGGGCCTCGGCCTGTCCAGGGCGGCACAGTGGGGGCGGCACAGGGTCCGGCGACCCAGGGCCAGTGGCGGAAGCCTCCTGGTCAGCGGGGCCGGACTCAGCCTGCAGCACAGCGAGGAGAGCAGGCTCGGACTCCTCAGAAGGCGCCCAGAAGAGACCGGCTCTACACCGGCAGCCAGGCACGGGGGTTGGGGGGGATGGCAGGGGTGTCAAAACCCCTGGTGCGCAGAGCTTGCTGTCTTTGAAGCAGTTACCTGTGTAGGGCCAGAGGCAGCCGTAATGCCTAGAGTAGCTCGCCCGGCCTGGCCAAGTGCAATCTGGAGGCAGGAAATCTGCGCCCAGACTGAGCGACCCAGAAACAGCCTCTTCTTCTTTGTTTATTGCGTTTGAGACAGGGTCTCACTAAGCAGTCCAGATTACCCTTGGGCTCACTGTGTAGCCCAGGCTGGCCTCGAACTCGCAGCAACCCTCCTGCCTCAGCCCACTGAGTGTGGGGATTGCAGGTGTGCGCCACCACACCCAGCTATCATTTTCAGTGCTTCCCTCTCACGCTCCTGCTCTGGGAAGCAGTGAATAGAATGATGAAGACACAGGCTCACCACGGTTGGTGGCACACGTGTGTAATTCCAGCGCTAGGGAGGCTGAGGCAGGAGGATCACTGTGACTTCAAGGCCAGCCTGGGATACATAGTGAAACCCTGTCTCAGTACCTCTCCTACCCCCCAAAAAGACACAGGCTGTAGAACAGACTGACTTGTGTTCAAATTCAGCTGCAGCCTGCAGAGTGACCTGGCTGAACCCGAGTCTTTAGTGAAGACAGGAGGAGGTCCCTGCCTGGCCCTGGCAGGGATCCGTGAGGAAGGGACACAGACGCGGTTCAGAGTCACAGTTACAGGCCGGAGTGTGGCCTCACAGACTGCTGTGTCTGGCTGCATCGGGGAACGGCGTCTCCCAGGAGAGCGGCCACAGCCCTCTGGGGTCACCGGCCCCTGCCCCCTCTGAGTGGACGCTGCACACTGAGGACCAAGTCCCTTTCCTTCTCCCGACCTCGCCTCACCTCCCTCTTCGCCTCCTCCCAAAAGTGCACCCAGTGATGAGATGTGGGTGGTGGAGCCAGAGCCTGCTCTGTGCAAAGCCCGGCCTGCCAGATGCAGATTAGTGTTCAGTCCCCCTTGCACGCAGGACTGAGGTCGGTGCCCAGTGGGTGGACGCTGAGCTGCGGGCCCAGGGCTCCACAGTGGGTGTGGGTCTGTCTGGGCCTCCTGTGTCGCTTGGTTTAGGGGAGCTGGGATGCCCCTCTCTCCCACCTCCCCTGTCCACTGGCAAGTCCTGCTGGCCTTGCTTCGGGTCGGGCTCACAGCCAGCGTCTCCCTGCTCCGTGAGCTCCCACCCAAGACAGAAGGCAGCAGAGCTCACCCTTGGGTCAGCCAAGTGGCCGTAGGGCAGGTGAGCCTCCGCTGATAGCCTGGCCCTCCCATTGTCTGTTTTGAGCACAAAAGCCAGAAAGTCCCCCTTAAAATGTAAGTCAGGGCTAGGCGTGGTGACGCTTACCTGTAATCCCAGCACTCAGAAGGCTGAGGCAGGAGGATTGCCATGAGTTCGAAGCTAGCCTGGGCTAGATAGGGAGACCCTGTCTCAAAAAACCAAAAATAAAATACACTGTAAGTCAGGTCATGGCACGCCTCTCTCCAAAACTGTTCGATGGTGTTCCAAGACAGAGAAAGCCAGAGTCCATAGTGGCCTCGCCACGCCCCCTCATCCGGGATTCACCCAGGCCGGGCCCAGACCCTGGGCACCACTCCGCTCTCTCACCATGCCAGGTGTGTCCCCCTCAGGCCTTTGTGATTGTGTCCCCCATCCGTGACACCCTGGTATCCACTGCATCGCCGTCACCTCAACTCAGGTGCCACCCTGACTGTCCTGTGAAAACAGCGCTGCCCCGCTGGAAACTCTCTCCTTTATCTGCTGTTCTCTCTCAAGGATTTGTTCTCCTCTGACATGCTACATATGTTTTTTTCCATAATCAAGGTAGATTTCTTTTCTTTTCTTTTCTTTTCTTTTGGTTTTTTGAGACAGGGTCTCACGATGCAGCCTGGGCTGGCCTTGAACTCACTGTGCAGCCCAGGCTGGCCTCGAACTTGTGGTGACCCTCCTGCCTCAGCCTCCAAGTGCTGGGATCACAGGTGTGCACCACCACTCGGCATTTTTTATTTTTATTTTTTGGTACCGGGGATCGAACTTTCGAGGCAGGCGCGGTGCCACTGAGCTAAATCCCTGGCCCTCTCGGCATGTTTTTAAAAAGCAAAACCTTTATTAGTACATTTCAGATGTACATAATGATAGCACTCATCACAGGGAATTTGTACCTGTACATGATATATCCTGCCTCTTCTTTTTCTCCCATTCCTCCTAAGCTCCTCTCTCCTCCCTGTGCACAAAAGCTTTGTTTCCAGTTTTCCTTCTATTTTCACTTTTTTTCTTGTCCTTTCCTTCCTTTCTCCCTCCTGCCTCCCTTGTTTCCCTTCTCATTTGAACATTTTCTTCCCATTTCCCAATATTTATCATACATTTTAGTCCTTATTTACACTTTTGGCTTCTCATATCAGAAAAATAATGTGGCATTTAAACGTGTATAGGATTTATTTCACTTAACAGTATGGTCTCAAGGTCCATTTGTTTAGCTAGAAATGTCTCAAGCTCAACCTTCTTTATGGCAGAGTAGTACTCCCTTGTATAAAAAAAACCACATCTTCTTTAACCATTCATCAGTTGATGGGCACTTGGGCTGTTTCCAAGATTTAGCTATTACAAACTGTGCCGCTATGAACATGGGTGCACATATATCACTGTGGTATGATTCTTTTAATTCTTTGAGGAAGATCCCCAGTAGGGGAATAGCTGGGTCAAATGGGACTTCCAGTCCTAGTTCTCTGAGGTGTCTCCACACTGATTTCCACAGTGGCTGTACCAGTCTACACTCCCACCAGCAGTGGAACAGGGTTCCTCTTTCCCCACAGCCCTGCCAGCATTTGTTATTGGTTGATTTCTTGATAGCAACCATTCTTTCTGGAGTGAGGTAGAATCTCAGTGTTGTTTTAATTTGCATCTCTCAAATGACTGGAGAGGCTGAACATTTTTTCATATGTTTATTTGCCATTTCTACTTCATCTGAGAAATGTCTGTTCATTTCAGATGCCCATTTTTGAATTGGGTCTTTATATCTGTGGGGTCTGAGTTTTTGAGTTCTTTATATATTCTAGATTGTAGACCTTTGTCTGAGGAACAGCTGGTAAAAACTTTTTCCCACATTGTGGGTTGTCTGTTAGCTCTGTTGTTGGTTTCTCTTACTGTGCAGAAGCTTTTTAATAAGGAGATCCCAGGTGATGATTCTTTGTGATAGTTCCCGTGCCGCCGGGGTTTTGTGCATAAAGTCTGCCTACATCAACATCTTCGAGAGTCCTCCCTATTCTGTCTTCCCCCAGATTTAGGGTTTCTGTCTTAATGTTTAGATCTTTGATCCATTTTGAGTTTGGGTCAGTGTGACTTGCTGCATGTCCACTCGGTATTACTAATGGCAGCTCCGTGGCCAGGAGCTTGATTCAGCTGGGTGCTCTACCCAGGCTCTCAGATGACGCTGGCATACAGTAGGGGCCATTGTCAAACCCCTCTGCACTGGGTCTCCCTTTCATAACTGCAGTCTCGAGTCATTCAAATCCTGGTACCAGGGTCTCCCTTTTGTAAGACGTCCACCAGGAAGAAGAGGAGAGGGCGGGAAACCCAGGGCAGATGGCCTTCGCTTCCTGAAGACGGGGATGAGGGCGGTGGTGGTGACAACGTGACGATCATGGTGGCGGCGATGGAGATGATGGCCATGATGATGACTGTTGTGGCTGTGTCCAGATGTCCCCAAGGCCTGATGCGGTCACAGGCAGGGCTTTTTCAGAGGTGGCCAAATCCAGAGTGTGTGATCGATTCCTGGTGCAATACCAGGGTTATGGGTGCTGGGATCAAGGGTGTGTGGTTACTAATTCAGGCCACTGATTGGTTTGGCCCCACCCTGATACCAGTAGCCTGGATACAAGGACAGGAAGAAGCTTGTCTCCTTCCTGGTTGCTTTGCTGCCTCCTCCCCACCATGAACTGTTTCTCCTCTGCCATGCTTCTGCCACCCTGCCTCGGAGCCAGCCGGCTGTGTGCTGAAACCTCTAAAAACTGTGACCAAAATAAACCTTTCCTCCGTAACTTTGGGTTTTGGGTATTTTGTCTCAGGAACACAATGAGAAAAGTAAGGCAGAATTTGGCACCAGAGAAGTGGAGTCATTGATGTGACTATAGCTGACCACATGGTTCAGGAACCTTTGGGAACGGCTTGTGGGGAGAGTTTGGGAAGGTTTGGAGATGCTGGCCAAAAAAGCAGAGCTGGAATGCCTTAAGTGGTACCTAGTGGGAGAGTCTGCTCAGAGCTCAAAAGACCAGAAAGCTGATAGAAATCCTGCCAGTAAAGACCAAGCTCGAGAGGTTTCTGCTGGGAAGAAGGACTGCATTGGCTGTTGGACTCCAGACAAGGTGTGTTATGGCTGGCAGAAAGTTTGTCTGTGTTTTGCTCATGTCCAGAGACTTTGCCTGAGACTGAGATTAAGAGCAGTGGACTAATTAATCTTGCAGAAGAAATTTCAAGACAGTCTAATGTTGAGGCTGTGGCATGGCTACTGTTGGGGGCTTTTAGCCAGATTTATGTTGAGAATCAACATAAGAGCACAGCAGAATGTTTCAAAACGTTGTGAGTTTGGCCAGAAAGCAAGCTCCAGTAAAGTTGTGGCCTGCAAGATAGAGCAGAGCAGAAATTGATCACTGAAAAGACTTGCAAGAAAAAGCCAAGTATTTCAGAAGATGACAACCCAAAAGATGTCCTGAGGGCATCACAAGAATCAACAGGACTCCACCCTTTGGAGTCTCAGAGCTGCAAAAGTGAAAGAGTTTGCTTTGAGAAGAGAGCCCCAGAGCACCATGTTCCAGAATGGTGGTGGCCTAGGAAAGTTGTTCCTTGGGATTTGGTTCATAGGCACTGAACCCCCACAGCCAAGTGAGAAGGAAGCCTGGCTACTGCTCCAGCTGGCAGCAGACCTTGGCGTCATCCACGTGGTGCTGGCTTTAGGCGCATGCAGAATGCAAGAGCTGTCGGGTCAGGAAGGCTTCACCCAGATTTCAGAAGGCCTGGGAGGCCGGGTAGGGTGCCCCCGAGGGGGCAGTGTGCGAAGCGGTGAGTGTGAAGGCAAAGGTGCAGTGGAGACCCCAGAAGTGTGGAGAAGTCAGGAGCATGAATCATCTGAGGAAAACTGCAAGGAGGGAGCAGAGCTGGCCCCAGAGAGAAACCATGGGAGCCACAGCCACCAGCAGTGCCATAGGGCGGAGCCGCCCAAGCCCTTTGGAGTTCACAGCTTGCCACAGACTGCCTCACATGCTGGATGTGGAACCACAGGACTTCATATTTGCCCTGCTGGATTTTGGACTTGCTTTGTTCTCCTTTGTAGCCCCTATTTGATACCTTTTGGAATGGTAGTACTTATTTTGTGCCATTGAATGTTGGAAGTGTTTAACTTCTTTTCATTTGCCCAGGGCTCACAGCTAAGAGTTTGCTTAAACCTCAGAGGAGACTCGGGACTGGGACTTTGCAGCAGTGCTGAGACTGTTAGGACTTGGGCAACTCTTGGAGAAGGACTGAATGGCTTGTGTCTAAAGGGATGTGCGTGAGTCTTTGGGGACCGAGGGAAGAATGCTACGGCTGTGTCTAGATGTCCTCCCATGTGGTCACAGGCGGGCTTTCTCGGAGTGGCTGGATCCAGAGTGTGTGACTGATTCACGGTGCAGTGCTAGGACCAAGGGTTTTTAGGACTAAGGGTGGGTGATAATGAAGTCAGTCCACTGGTTGGTTTGGCACTGCCCTAACCCCGGCGGCCTGGATATAGTATAAGGGACAGGGAGAGCCTCGTCTTCTCCCCTGCTTGCTTTGCTGTCTTCTCCCTACTGTGAACCATTTCTCCTCTCCCGGGCCCCTCTGCCAAGCCACCCTGCCTTGGAGCCAGCAGACTACAGGCTGAAACCTCTACACGCTGTGCACCAAATAGAGCTTTCCCCCTTCAACTGTGGGCACTGGGTGTTTTGTCTCAGCGACGAGAGAAATAACTAAGACAATAATGATGATCATGGTGATGCTGGTGGTGGTGATGGCAAGGCTGAAGCCACAGCGGCTTTGGCAAGCAGTTTGGAGTTTCTGCAAGGGAGCTCACTGCACCCCTCATCCTTACACAAAAGAGGAGAACGCAAAGGCTGTACCTACCGAAAGGCCTGTGGGGGTGATGGGGAACCCCCCTCATCCTGGGAAAGATGGCCTGGGAGGACAGGCTGTGGCTGTGTGAACACGGACGGGCCCCAGTGCAGGTCCTTGTATTTATTCCCGATTCCACAGTGATGGGGAGTGGGGACACAGGTCACTGAGGGACAGTCTCTTGTTTTTAGGGGAATCGGCGGCCTGGGACAGTCTCTGGCCCACGGAACACACGCAGCTTGTACATACTCCTCTTTGGGAGCAGAAGGAAGGACAGTGAGACAAGACACCTCCTTGGACAGGCGTGGACTGTGCCAGGCGCGGGGAAGGACTGGTGGCCATGGCTCTGCACTCCTCAGAGAGGGACAGAGGCCCCAGTGGCTCTGAGCCCCTCTGTCCTCGGGTGCGGCTCTCTCTCCGCAGCAGCTCTGTCCGTCCCACTGAGCCCAGGCTGCCCACAGGGGCGGGGACACCAGGTCCTGGGGCAGCCAGCAGCCTGATGGGGCTCAGCAGCCGAGGGAGTCCCAAGCACCTGGGCGGGGCCAACTGCAGGTCAGTCCTGCTGAGAAAGAGAAGTAGGCCCAGCCCAGCCTTGCACATGCCTGACCCCGTTGACAGCAGGTTGTAGAAAACGCAAGCTTTCCATGCCAGGAGGCAGCCCCGAGGTTGGTTGCCTGGTGAGGGGCCAAGAAAGGCAGGCATGAGGGGATGTTTCTGGGATGTCACACACTGGCCGTCACTGTAGTGCTGCGCCTCAGGCGTGGAAACGCTGTGTTCCAGAACACGGGAAAGTTTAAACGCGTCCAGTGCAATGTGGGCCTCACCTCAGTGAGACGGTCGGGCCACAGACGTGCACCAAACCCCAGAGCGGTGCTGAGACCCCAACCCCAGGCCCATGGGGGAGGCGAGGTCCCAAGAAGCCCCTTTCCGCCTCCCGGGCCTCGCTTTCTGTCTGAGGCGTGGGCACACAACGTCCCCAGGGAGCCTTCTCCCATCAGCCTCGCCCTGGGGCCCGCTGTCTTCAAACACACACCCGACCCTCAGAAGGCACCCTAAGCAAGCAGCAGCCTTTCGGGGAGCGCACAGGCCACTGTACCGTCCGCTCTCCAGCCTCAGGTTTGGTGGCTCCCTTCCGGCTCCAGTGGAACCTGCCCTTGCAGAGCCCTGAACACACAGCATGGCTTCAGACAGCCTCACCTTGTACCTGCTACCGGCTCTCCTTGGACTGTCACTCTACCCACCCCTACTCCACGATTGCGTGATAAACCCCTATTCAGCCTTCAGAGCCCGCTTTACAGGTAAGCGCTGTCTCTTGGTCCTCGTTTTCACCCAGCGTCTCCCTCGGTGCCCAGAACCCAGGAAGGGGAGGCTCAAACAGATAAAATGAATGAACCCATTCGTGGTCTGGAGGGAAAGATTCCCCATGCCTTCCCTTTCCCCAGAGCTGGCAGTGCTGTTGGTCAGGATCCAGGAGTCCAGAGGCCGGGCGGGCAAGGGTCTCACTCCCCATCACCCACACATGGCGCAAACAGGCTTGAAGGCCAGGCACACGACCCTGAGCTGCCCTGCTGCCTGCCTTGGGGAGGGCCATCCTGGGGAAGGGGCTGCGGCTCACAGGAGGCTCAGGGAAGAGCTTTTCCTGGCTTTCTTCTTACTTCCCCAGGAGAGGGGCTAGGGGGCCAAAGTGACCCCACAATGCCTCATTTGGAATCCAAGGAAGATGTTTTACCCTTTCATTCACTCATGCATTCATTCAACAAACATGTTTCGTTTTGCTTAATTTTTGGTTTTTCTGAGACAGAGTCCCACTGTGTAGTCCAGGCTGGCCACAGACTAGAGGCGCTCCTCCTGCTTCTCTGAGGCTTCGATCACAGACCCTGGGGAGAGGTGTGACATCAACACCAGACAGAAGGTGAGCAGCCGGCAGGCCCCCATGCTGACCATGGTGGAGCTTTGAGAACACTGTGCGTTTTTGGCATCTAGAGGTCGCTTCTTCTCACTAACTTCAAATATCACCCAGCTAAGAGGGAAGGAGGAAAGGGACCCCACGTGCAGGGTATGCAGGGAGTGCAGGGTGTGCATGGCTGCACCTGTGACGTGGAGGAAGGCAGCTGGCTCATTAAGCGACGCCCTTTGCAAGCCCACCCCCGGTCCTGGGGCTGGCCACAGGCAGGGCAGACTTGGCCCCTACCTTCCAGACTCTGCAGACTCTGCACTCCGCGGGAAGAGCCCGGAGATGAAGGGGAAGGCAAGCCACAAAGGGCGAGTGATCTGCTCCGGGTCACTTTCACTCCTGGGATTTTATTGTTCTTTTCTGTTTACACTTTAAACAAATATCTGTTCAGGTCTCTGGGAGCAGGGACAGATGGCACCCAGTGTGGGGTGGAGGCTGTAGGAGGAAGGGATGCGTGGAACCTGGGGAGGCGACATGCAAGGCAGAGGCCAGGCAAGAAGCAAGAGCCTGTGGGTAAAGCAGAGCCCAGTGCGGGGCACTGACTTGGGAAGCAGGCCTGCAGGTCCCACACCCCCTACACCCCCTGCGGAAGTGG